GCTATGTGTGAGGTGATAGAGCCTTTAAGACATGGAGCCTAGTGGGAAGTAACTAGATCACAGGAGGTCCTACCCTCAGAGGGAGTTAGTACAGTTCTCCAGGAACTCTGGTTATTTCTCATGAGAGGGTTGATATAAAAGAGCAAAACTGGCCCTCCCTGCTTTCTAAAGGCTTTGTGTCTTGCCGTGCTACAATGACTGTCTTACACTTCCACCATTGTAATATCATCTGCCACAAGGCCTCACTTCAGGCCAAAAAAAAGGGGCTGCTTGATCTTGGACTTTGAGTCTCCAAAATTGTAAGCTACACACACCTCTTTTCTTTATGAAGTACTTAGCCTCTGATATTTTGTTATAGCAATAAAAAAAACCCTAATACACATGAAATTACATCATGAGATGAAGCAAGTGGATATAGCAAGGTGGCAGAGAGCATGCTGGGACAGGAAGGAGAAAGGTACTATCAGAAGCTTTAAGAATTTATACGTGGTGCAATGTGTGTTAAGGAAAGAGTGTTGAAAGAACTGAAAGAAATCAAGTACAAAATAATGTGAGCTTGAATCTTTCTTTCATGCATAATTGTCTCCAAGTGATATTGACTGAATCACATACAATATGGGAGAAATAGTTTTTTTTTTTTGAGCTAGGAAGAAGATAAGTATGTACACTAAAAACATTAATGAGTTCAATTCTGTAATTCATATTAACTTAGCAGGCTTTGTTTAAATTCATGCCATAAGTTCAGGGGGAAATAGCTTTTTATATGTAAACTAGCATTAGAATTAGAAAGAATTGCTAATTGTATGTCTAGTTTAAAAGTCTAGAAAAATATGCTTCAATTAATGGTAGTTATCTAAGTTATGTCCTTACTTTCATCAAGGATTAAGTAAGTTATTCTTAGTACAATGACTCCTAGGAGCAATTCTGTATCTCCTATCAATGAATAATCGGTTCAGCAGTCCTAGGAGTTTGGTCCCTTAGCTTAGGCAATAGTCATTCTCTCAGTAACCAGCAAACAAAGGTCAGGTGAAATATGTTTGGCAATAACTTGACCAACTTTGTCTGCAGACCATTGGAAACACCAGAAGTATTTTCTCCCATAACAAATAATAATAATAATAATAATAATAATAATAATAATAATAATAAAACATTGATGAGTTCAGTACTTTCTGTGACCCATATAATGTTTACACTTAAATGCCACTGGAGCCTGTTGAACTCACTGAGAAAAGATTTATGAAATGAATAGTCAAATGCTCAAATTTTTAAAATAAATAAAGGGAGTTTGAAGCTACCCTTCCTGGATTCTTGCTTCCACTCTACCCCAAGATATTTGTCTTGCACCAAGAAGGTACTTTGTGGCCTTCTGTTTTCACATCTGAAAACAGGACTAAATTAGACAAGGTATTCATGTTGAAATAACTTACCAAACCTCTAATATAAACTGCTTGACCCCGGATGGTATTTTCAGCAATATTAATTAACCAGAAATATGAATTATTGCCACAGTGGGACTATCCAGCTTAGTTGCTATGCCTTCTGTGTGACTAAATGCTATATTAACAGTCTTGGATCACAGACCAATTTAATTTAAATGCAGTGAACTATATAAATGTGAACCCTGCATTTAGTTTTATTAAAATTATATCATGGCAAAATAAAATAGACATAAATCAAGCCACATGTCCTTACTTCAAGCCTGAGTCATGTCTAGTTCTCATATAATAATCTTAAAGTTTCTCCAACTCAACTTCCTCTTAAATATGGAAATTCCTGGGACCCACACATATGTGGGAGTGCTGATCATGTGACCTTCTGAAAAAATGTGGATACATGTATAATTCTATGATTTATTCCATGAATTCTATCAGTTATGTAAATAGTAATGTAAAGATGAGTCATCTCTTATGTCTAATCAGTTGCATGTTTAAATTTGAATTGATTCAGAGATTTTTTTCTTCTCTTCCTTTTTAAGTAGGAATTTACTGACAGACAATGGCAGAAAGAGTCTTACAGAAGTTAGAACTCCTGGATAAGCAAGCAAAGATACTCATGAACAGAAGAATAAAGGTCTGTAAAGTGAAAGCTAAATTCAATTTAATCATTAAAAAAATGAACATTTCAAGGGGCTGTGGTTGTGGCTCAGTGGTAGAGCGCTTGCCTAGCATGCATGAGGCATGGGGTTTGATCCTCCGCTCCACATAAAAATAAATAAAGGTATATGTCCATCTACAACTAAAAAAAATATATTAAAAAATTAACATTTCAAATAATAATAATTTTGATTTTTAGTTAATGATACATTAATCTGAAAATATAAACTAATTTGTAAAAAGCAAATCATTACATTAGGTGAAAGAATCATCTAAGTGGATAATAAAAAGAATTCATTAACTGTACAAGAAAACCTCCAGACAGCTGCTACAGCAGGTTATGGTATATATCACACCTGCTTAAAAATTCTGTGCTGCTGAACATTAAATGTGACTACTGCTATAGTTCTTACCAACGTGTTAAACATATGCTGAGTTATTTAGTTTGGGCATGTTAAAAGGAAGAGAACATTTGGGATAGTTACCAAATTAGAAATAATTAAAACTTACAGAAATAATTGAAGTAAACTATAAATAGGCAAGACTCATAGAATTCAAGAAAAATATAAAAGAGAATATGGTTCTCAAAACCCAGTTTGGGACATAAAGGAACAATTAAATTTTGGTTTTCTGGAAATTCTTTTAAAATTATATACTGGGGCTGATGATATATATAATTCAGCTGGTAGAGTGCTTGCCTCCCCAAGCACAAGTCCCTGGGTTCAATTCCCAGCACCATAAAAAATACACACACACACACACACACACACACACACTCACACACACTATACACACTATATGATCATCTTTTAAAACTTTTATTATTTTAAAATTGTAAGTATAAAACATATCTTCGGAACAAGATAAACAATGCATAGAGATGCATAAAGAAAAGTAGACATAAAGAAATTAAATAAAGAGAAGTTAATTAGTAGTCTTTGGCCTCTTTCCTATAATCCACTCATCAGAGGCAAATACATTTTGACAATTAGAGTTTGTTCATTCATATCTTTTTATGTACTCTTATAAAGATAGACATAAAGACATTTATCTTTGCATATAAATTTATATGTATTTAGAAGAAGAATACACAGACACATAAACACCTACATACATAAAAGTAGATTTTATCTATTTTTTAACACGAAAATTAGCTAATACATAAATCACTCTGTTATTTGTTTTTTTTAATATTTTTTAAACTTAAAAATATTGTAGACCCAGTTTTTGCAATTACAAAAACAATATAGGCAATCCAGCATACCTTTTATCCAAGTTACCTACAATGATGACATCTTATACAGTTATGGTACAATATTAAAACCAAGATGTTGATACCCGATGTCTGTCAACAGGACTACAGATTTTCTTCAGTTTTTACCTGCAGTTTATTCATTTTTTGACCAGCATGAATTTGTATGTGTGTGTGTGTATGTGTGTGTGTGTCTGTGTACACCTGTGTGTATGTGTAGTTTCATGCAATATTATTCCATTTACAGATGTGTGTAACCACCACAATCAAAATCCAGCCCTTTTCTGTCACTGTACACAACACTCTCATGCTACTTCTTTTATCCACTGCATTCACCATCTCTATCTGTGAAAAGCAATCACTGATTTGTTTTCCATCTCCACAATTTTGTAATTTTGAAAATGTAATACAAATAGAATCATATGATATGTAAAGTTCTGAGAGTGACTTTTTCACTAAACATAATGGACTTTGAAGTTCACCCAGATTTTTGCATGAATCCATAGCTCTGTTATTATAAATAACATGCAAATTTTATTGCTGAGTAGTATTCCATTATATGGAGTAACAGTTTCAATAACGTATCCATTGAAGGTCATTTGGGTTCTTGTCAGGATTTGGCTACAAAAAAATAAGACTGGTAAAAATAAAATAAAGCTGCTATGAACGTTTTTATACAAGTTTTTATATAAATTTAAGTTTTCATTTCTCTGGAGTTAATACCCCAAAATACGACCACTGCTGCTGTCTTTCACCTGAACTTAACAACAGCAAGGCCAGAAAATTTGGTTTGAATTCCCCCAGACCCATTGGGTTCCCCTTCCCTGAACCTCAGCCCAGAAATTGCTCTAGGAAGTAATCTGGGCTATTGCAGCATTCACCTCATTTGTTTTTCTTCTTTCCAGGATTCATTCCTGCTGAAGAAGGTAGTTTTCATATATTCTGCCTGATTTTCTGGTTGTTTACAGTAGGAGTTTAATTACTATAGCACTTAATCCTTCATGGGCAGATGCAGAAGCTCCCTCTATCTTTT